AGCATCATTTCTATCACCAAGTCCAAATTTTCCAACTACTAGACCCTCCTCTTTGCTCCCTACTTTTGCATTCCAGTCACCAGTAATGAGCAATATATCTTGATTGCATGTTTGATCTATTTCAGATTGAAGAAGTTGGTAGAAATCTTCTATTTCCTCTTCACTGGCTTTAGTGGTTGGTGCATAAATTTGAATAATAGTGGTATTAACTGGGCTTCCCTATAGGCGCATGGACATTATCCTATCACTTACCCATCTCCTGTAGAGACAGGCATTCTATTTGAAGATAACTATTTTAAGAAGGTTGACAGTCCAGTTCACAAAATGAGATTCTATTAGTATATACAACAAAATTTATACATACCTTACTCAAAGCTTTGCTTTTCTTGTAAAATGGTTTTTCTGACTTTTCAATACAGACTTGTTTGTTTTTCATACTTATTTGTCTTCGCATGTCCAGGAATTTTGACTTACGCTTCACATTCTTCTCTAGATACTTGACTCGTCGATGACTGAAACTGGAAATCCCGCCATATCTAAGATGAAAACACAAGATAACTCAAACTTTATGTTCTCAATTTGAGTTTGTTTCTTTTTAAACAGTTTTTAAAGAGAATAAAACTCACAATTCTCATTAGCTTGTAAATTAGTAGCCACCATTTTAATTCTATTTTTTCAATTATGAAAATTAAATAAAGTTTAAAAATTCAGAGAAGTGTAAGGTCTACCCTGTATGTTAACTCTAAAGCAAATGTGAAATATCAAAGCTAGGAATATCAACATACGTAACAGAGCAAAAAGCAGACATTATATAAAAGCCAAAACACCATAGCCTTTGAGTCAGTCCAACTCCTGGCAATACTACATATTGCAGAGGGAAATTGCTCCACTGTAATCTTTACAGAAGCAGATCACTGTTTGGATTTTCTTCCATAGTGACACTGTGTGGATTTGAAACTTAGTTAGGTTAAAGATGTAGAAAATGAAATAAGTCCACGTGAGCCAAATTTTGACCTTGACCATATCCCACCTAAACTTGGAGATCATCTCAAGAACAGATTGACTGAAGACCAGAAGAATTGTGAGATGACATCAAGAAAATCATACAGTAAGAAAGCAAAAGGTCCTTAAGAAGATAAGAAGGAATTAAAAGACTAAAATAGATGCCGGAAGAGACTGAAACATGCTTTCCAGAGTGAAGATGCTAAAGCAAATCAAAGAAATGAAGAGGTAAAAGAGCTGAACAGAAAAGATTGACCTTGGCAAAGACTTGACTTTGCTAAGAGCCATCTTCAACACTCACGAAACCAAATGACGTATTGCATTAGGTAAATCTGCTGCACGAGACCTCTGTAAGGTGTTCAAAAGCAAAGAGGAATAAAGTGCACTGACCCAAACTATGGTATTTTCGACAGCTTTATACGCATGTAAAGATTGGACAATGAACAAGAAAAACCTCAGAATTATTGATGAGTTATGGTGTTAGAGAAGAATATTAAAGTATCATGGACTACTAAAACAAATAAATCTGTGTTGTAAGAGGTACAGACAGAATGCGGAGACTCATCTCTCAAACTTTGGACATATTATCAGGAAAGACATGTCCCTGGAAAAGCACATCATGCTATGTAACGTGGAGGGTCATCGAAAAAGAAGACCCTCAGTAAAATGGACTGATATAAAATGGACTCAAGCTTAACAGTGATTGTGAGGATGGAGTCCTGGTGTGGCACTGTGGGATAAAGAACTGGACCACAAGGTCAGTTTGAACCACAATGTCAAACTCACCAGCCACTCATCTGAAACCCTATACAGGATCGTTATAAGTTGGAACTGACTTGATGGCACTAAAGAATAACAACAAATTTCTGCTTGAGTTTTACTGCTTTCACAATGGGGTCATGGTGTGCTGCTGTAGGATAAGCAATGAACTGCTAACTGCAAGACTGGTGGCTTAAAGCCATTAGCTGCTCCTCAGAAACACTATGCAACATCGTTATGAGTTGGATCTGACACTACAGCACTTAACAACAACACTTTTGTAATAAAAAAGAAAGATTATTATAAACTTGAACTTTTCATGGCATGCTCACTAAAGTGTTGCGACACCAGGTTAAAAAGAGAACTGCACTTAGAAGTTACAAGATCTGTGCTGAATTACCTTCTCCAGTAAATGACATGATCTTCACCAAGTCAAGTTTTGTGAACTATGTTGCTTTATCTATGAAAGGGGACTAACAATCTTAGGTTGCTAAACTGAATAATATATGAAGGTCAACTGAATTAATCTGAATACATAAATTGCAGGGTGTTATTTCTACAATTCTTATTAACAGAACCGATTAGTATTTTAATTGTAAAATTACAAATGCTTAACATACATACCATGTATTAACTATCTGAACAACAGATAATAAATATTTCAAAAAGATAGTAGCAATCATAAATAATTACTTTTGTCCTGAGCCATGCTGGAATCCTAGAAGACAACCATGTTCATCAAAGTCTGAATGTGGATTTTCATCGAAGTCCAGTTCATGACTAAACAAACAAAAGGTAGATGGTGATAAGCCATTACCTCCACAGCTCAACAGTGCAGGCAAACATCAAAAGGTAGATAGTCAACCTATGCAAATGTTTCCATCGAAATAATCAACCTTAGTCCACAAATCTAGAAATATAGGATAAATAGCACCTTTAGCAGGATTTTCCAAATGTCATAAAATATGTAACAGAAACATAGTACTAAGCACTCAAAGCTTAAACCACGTTATGTAATTATTTTCATTCCTGAACATATTATAAATACAGATCTTCCCATGTTCTTTTAGAAAACACCAATAAAAGCTGAAACCTTGGATACCTTTTATGACCCTGACAGTAACAGCCACAGCATACCAAGTAAATAAAAATGGTAATGAAGTAGGTATTACAAAGTTTGTCGCTAAATATTTATTATTACCTACTAGCTTGCACGGAGTCCTGGTGTGGCTCTGTGGGTTAATGTACCAGACTGCAAAGCTGTTTGAACTGCAAGGTCAGCAGTTCAGGCTCACCAGCTGTTCCTTGGAAAGCTTACACAGGGTCGGAACTGACTCGATGGCACTTAACAACAACAACTACTAGCTTGCACAGGAGCCACGGTAGTGCAATGCATTACGAGTTGGGTAACTACCTGTGAGGTCAGCAGTTTGAATCTACCAGTTGCTCATTGGGAGAAAGATGAAGCTTTCTACTCTTGTAAAGATTTACAGCCATGGAAGCCCTATATACAGGGTCACTATGAGTCGAAACCAACTCAACGGCACACTACCACCACTAGGTTGCAGGAATATAACCAAACACATGGTCTCAGCACTCCGTGGCCCAGGCAAAATAGCAGGGAGCTAACAAGAAATGTCTACTAGGTAGAGGGAACACAGTAGAGGGACTTTTATGGACTATGTGCCCGAGTCTTTACAACTTGCTCTCTGCTCTCTCAGAAGGTGTATCAAGGAAGAAACCTTACGCAGAGTACCTCATTTCCAGTAAGGTGTTTTCACCTAATCTCGAAAGTCTGTAATGATCCACTTTTTCCTTAAATATCTCTAGCCATCAACACTTGACCATTTCAGACCTTAGATTACTCTTTGTTTCATTACAGGTGTGAAAGAAAAGAGTAGTACCTCAAGAAGCAGTTGGTGTCAGCACTAGCCTTACTGCTGCCATTCTATTGTTGCTATGTAACTCTGGGAAAGGCCTATATCATGCTCGCCTTAGCATTCCTATGTATACAATGAGAGCATTAGATTTGATATCTCTGAGGTCTATTTCAGGAATAAAATTATGTCATCATACTCAGACTTTTGAGGTAAGAGGGGAATGAACAGCCTTGAGAAAGAATCTGATCTGGTTATTAAAAACTATCACCCACTATGCATTTACTATGCATCACATACATTATATATGCTAGTTTCAAGCCTTCCAATCACCTCCCCCCAAAGGCACCAGTCCTATCTTAAGGTAAGAATGCCCAGGGCTTTGTCAGTATACTCTGCCTCTTCTCTGCACAGGATTAGCAGAACTGTATACAGACCAAGCATTTCATAACCACTCATTCATGGCTACAAACATTTCTGTTAACACATTTTGGAAAGAAGTGATGTGTAACTTACCTTCTCTTCAGCGTGGTTGGTTTACATTCAGGTGGATCTTCATCACTCTCATCTCCATCAATGTCATTGGCATGTAGTCTTCCTTTGCTTGCGTTTGGTCCTGAAGACTGCTGTGTATCTAAAGAGGTAGAGCTACTTTGTGGTGAATTTCCACCCTTACATGTTTGATAACTCTTCTGCCACTTACAAAAGCAAACCCACTATTTCAGTGCCTCTTCTGCAATAAACTGTACATGTAGTGCCAGACCATATCTACCTACTCTGTGTGTCTATGTGCAAAGTCTAGAGTCCTGGTGTGGCACTGAAGGATATGCACTCAACCACAAGGTTGGCAGTTCAAACTCATCAGCAGCTCCTCAGAAACTCCATAGAGGGTTGCTGAGTCAGAACCAACTAAAAAATACTTAGCAATGTGTAAAGTCTGAGCATAAAATAAAGTGTAGCCATGTCTATTAAGGTTTAAAAGTTTCTATGATCTAACTCTTTACATAATTTGTCATATCTATGTGTGGTGCTGCAGGATAAGCAGTGGATTATGAACCACAAATTCAGTGGTTCAAATTCAACAGCTGCTCTTCAAACCTGAATTAGGACTGTTCTGAGTCAGAACTGACTCAAAGGCATTTAACAACAACATCATGTCTTTGTGCTGCATTTTCAGAGTTGAATAAAGTAGGTAGAGTGGGACTAAAAGTTATAATATGATTTCAGAGTAGACAGTGAAACGTTTTGATGATTTGGGCAGAACCACAAATAGTAGAAAATATATTCATGTAGAAATTGTTGTTACATGCCGTTGAGTCAGTTCTTACTCATAGCAACTCTGTACAGGGTGTCCAAGGCTGTAAAATCTTTATGGGAGCAGAAACCCTCATCTTTCACCCACAGAACAGCTGGTAGTTTTGAAATGGTTACCGTGAGATTAGCAGCCTGATTTGTACCCACTATGCTACCAGAACTCCTTTCATGTAGAAATGAGAGGATCTAAAACAAATAAAAATCTAAAACCTTTAAGTTGATTTGAAAGACAGACACACCAATGTTTATTGCAGAAAAGACCAATCTATCAGTATAACTAAGGAGCTCTGGTAGTGTAGTGGTTATGAGTAATAGGGCTGCTAACCTCAAGGGCTGCAGTTTGAAACTACCAGCCGTTACACGGAAGAAAGATGAGGCTTTCTGCTCCTGCAAAGATATACAGCCTCAGAAACCCTGTACTGGGTCGCTATTAGTTGGAAACAACTCCATGGCACATAACCACCACCATTAAAGAAGAAGAAAGTTGGAGGCCTCTTACTTCCCAAAATAACAGTAGTCAAAATAGCCTGATGATGGTACAACCGACACATAGACCAATGGAACGTAATTGAAAACCCAGACATAAATCCACACTCTAACTCTGCTTCTTATAAACTCATTTGCTTGGAGAATCTTGGAAGTTCCAAGCTCACTATAAATGAAACTTCAAGGGATTCCCAAGTTTTACTTCACTGACTACCAAGCAACAATACCTTTGATAATTCTATGCAACAAATCTTTTCGTTAATATAAAAGGATAATAACTTGGAAAATTAGATGGATGAAACCATTTCATTATAAAGGTAATTAAAATGTAATGGCATTAAATCTATTATAAAAGATTGATAATTATCTTGCCATCCATTATTCATTTTACTATCCATTATGTAAACAAGTAAGTGTTGAATAATCTTACCCTGAGCTGGTGGGTTTGTGCTTCTAGTCCTTTGCTTGGTTCCTCTATTACATGGTTCACCTTGGCCAGAAGCAGGGCATTCTCTTCTGCTGCTAATTTCACTAAGTTCCTGATGACCATTATAACTTAACGAAGACTCTAACTGACTTTCTTCTACCTCCTCTGAATTCAGAGTTATATTATTAATTCCATCAAGTATTTCATTATGATCATTATCACTTGAACTAGAGCTTTCATTACCAATTGTAATAGATGAAGATGGAAAAGAAATTAAATCCACTTTCATGCACTGTTTATCTTTGTTGTCAAGTTCTGTTTTAGATTCACAAGTATCTGTGTCACAGTTTTGTGAAGCATCAAAAGTCCAACCCTGAGCTTCCCAATACTGAAATTGTTCCAAATAATACCAATAGAGTTGACTATAATGTTGTTCCCATTCTTCCTTTGTATCATGACATTTCCAAGGTTCAGAAGATAGTGTCTCATCTGGATGTTTTTTTTCCTGCCAGCTTTGCCATAATAGTCCTTCTCCGTATTCATTCCAATACTTTTCCCATTTATCTGTAATTTCTAGCTTTGGAAATAATGTATCTTCAACAGGAAGATTTTCAGTTTCAGTATCTTTTTTGCTTTGAACTTTACATGTTCTCCTGTTCTTAGACTGCCCAATTGAAGATGGATCCTTTGAAGTCAAAATGTCATCTTCATCATCTTCTTCTCTCCAAGATTCTCTCATAATTTCATCTAAGTACTTCTTTTGATGTTTTTTCTTTTTCTTCTTTCTTTTAACTTTATTTCTAGCATTCATAGATACCTATATCAGACAAATCATAACGTCAATATAAAATATACCTCCTAAAACTAGAAGAGAGAAAGAGGAATCCAAATCTATTTTAACATTAAAATAAATAAAAACATCCTCATATCCCACCCTAAGGTTTTGGTTACACAAACAAAAGTACCTGGGGGTTTTAAAAAGTTCATGGAAAAATGAAATTAAAGCACAGTATTTTACTGTCTACATTCCCAAGAGGAGGAAAAGGGACATACTGAGGACATTACAACTTGCCATTTTGATCAATTTATTAATTTTAAATGGGGTGAAATGTTCAAATCCATTAAGTACATTAGATTTTGGATTTAAAAAAACATCTTGTGGTATGTTGTAAAGAACACTAATAGGAAAAATAAAAATAAACTAATACTCACCTCAAAATTATTATGTGCCGATACTCCACCAAATTGAAGTGGCAGTCCCATGCTTCTCATGAGTTCAGCCTCAGAATCAAGTTCACTTTCATCCAGGACTATACCTTTATTGTCATGTGATTCTGCAATGCCATGGGAATGGTCACTTTCCTCCTCTTCTGTATCCTGCTCTCCTACAGACAACATTTATTAGCTTAGTTTTACAGAAAACTCAAGACACTTTATCAACCCACTTTTAAAGACTCAAAATCTAATGACTCTCCCAAAGTTTGTTGTTGTAGGTATGACAAATGTCACAACTATTAAAAGGATTAACAAAAAAGAGGAATTCACAGTACTGTTGTTGTTATGTGCCGTGGAGTCGATTCTGACTCTTAGCGATCCTTTACAGGGTTTCCGGGGCTGTAAATCTTTATGGGAGCAGAAAGCCTCATCTTTCTCCCGCACAACAGCTGGTAGTTTTGCTGCTGACCCTGAGGTTCACAGTCCAACTCGTAACCACTATGCTACCAGAGCTCCTTAAGTGACGTCAAATCAGTTCCGACTCATAACGATACTGTGTGGGATTTCTGAGGCTGCATGTTTGTGGGAGAAGGTCTCATTTTCCTTCTGTGGAACAGCTTGTGGCTAGAACTGCTGACCTTGTTCACAGTCCAGTGCTTATTGTATGGACTAGTAAAAAAGTAGCCAACTAAGTATCAAGAAAAATCTTCTGGCTTAGACTCTACTTGCTTCTCTTGTTTCTACCTAGCGGTCCATTCTCTGTCCAGAGTACTGTGGATATAAGTGGGAACAGGGCAGATAAAAATTCTGTTCCCATGGGATAGTAATCATGGGAAAACACTTCAACATTCAGATTCCTTATCTGTAAAATTACTGACCTGCACTGGTGGTGATGGTGGTATGCTGTGGTCATTTCCAACTCATAATGACCTGTATAGGGTTTCCAAGGTGATAAGTCTTTAGGAGAGCAGAAAGACTCATTTTTCTCCTGAGAAGCGGCTGGTAAATTTGAACTGCTGATCTCAAGGCTAGCAACGCAACATGTAACCAATTATGCCACCAGGGCTCCCTGAACTACATTGTTGTTGGTGTTCATTGCCCCTGAGTTGATTCTGACTCATAGCAACCCTGTATAGGATTTTTGAGGAGCAACTGGTGGGTTTGAACTGCAGATCCTATGGTCTGCAGTCCAGTGCTGATCCTACAGTGCCATACCAGATGTCCCTGAACTACACTGTTGTTGCCATTAAGTGCCGTTGAGTCAGCTCTGACGCACAGCAACCCTGTATAGGGTTTTTGAGGAGCAGCAGGTGGGTTTGAAGTGCTGACCTTGTGGTCCACAGTCCAGTGCTGATCCTACAGCATCACATCAGGAGTCCCTGAACTACACTGCTGTTGCTCTCGTTAATTGCCATCAAGTTAATTCCAACTCATAGCGACTTTATAGGGTTTCTGAGGAACAATTGGTGAACTAGTGGATTTAAAATGACGATTTATGTAGTTAGTTTATCACAAATAGGATTTAGATACTGGAATTTTGTATTAAGAGTTACTTTATGAAGGGGCTCTGCTATTGCTATTGAAAGTTTGAAATTCAATGAATTGGAAGATCATTTCAAACTCCTTAATTCTAATTTTTATAGAAAAACCATTTTATCATAACAAAACATATTTTACTTTTACTTTTCTAGTAATAAATCATACCACAAATCAGACAAATGTTATTCAAACACTCTACTGTTTAATATATCAGATAAAATCTATTTTACATATAGGCACACTCAAACTATTTTACAGATTGCAGTTCAATGACCACAGGCAAAAGAACTGTGAGTCTACCCAGAGGAAAATGTAGACAGATAAAAGAGAAACCTCGTGTGCACAAATTCTACTAAACAAATTTCTAAAAGAGAGGGGAAAAGACACCTATTTAAACAATGATGGGGATTCAACTATAGTTCCATTAAGTGAACTTATGAAAGCTCATGAAAAGAGCAAAGTGGGGAAGATGAATTAGCCAAATTCAATGTTCCCTTCATTGTGTGCATATTTTCCTTTGTTCTGTGTGTGTTTGTGTGTGTGTGGGGTGGGGGTGAGCGGGGATGGCAGGGCATGCTCTGAATTTAAGTTAAAGGATTTTCTGGGCACACGCTTTACTTGTGCCAACGTTTTCAGCAGTTTTCTCAGTGTCTAGAAACATAAAAGATGTATATGGAAAAGGGCAAATGGGATCCCAGTAGGCAAATCTGAGAGAAACCAAGAAAGTTTTCAGTTAATTGCTGTTGTTGTTAGGTGCCATCGAGTTGGTACTGACTCGTAGCAAGCTTATGCACAGCCGAACGTAACACTGCCCGATCCTGGGACAATCTCACTACTGTTGCCATGCTTGAGTCCATCGATGCTGCCACTTGGCCAATCTATCTCGTTGGGGGTCTTCCTCTTTTTCTGTGATCCTTCCTCTTACCAAACATGATATGCTTCTCCAGTAACCTGTCCCTTGTGACAATACGTCCGAAGTATGAGAGACGAAGTTCGGCCATCTTGGCCTTCAAGGAGCACTCTGGCTGCACTTCTTCCAAAACAGATCTGTTTGTTCTTTTGGCAGTCCATGGCATTTTCAATATTCTCCTCCAACACCATAACTCAAAAGCAGCAATTCTTCTACGGATTTCCTCATTCACTGTCCAGCTTTCACATCCATATGAGGTTATTGAAAATACCATGGCTTGGGTCAGGCGCACCTTAGTCCTCAAGCTGACACCTTTGTTCTTCA